AGGCGGAGGAGGAGGAGGAGGAGGAGGAGGAGGAGGAGGAGGAGGAGGAGGAATAGGAATAGGGAAAGGAGAGGGAGAGGGAGAGGGAGGAGGGGGAGGAGGAGGAAGAAAGAAGAAGAAGGGAAAGGAGAAAGAGGGAGGTAGAGAGGAAAAGAAAAGAAGAGGAGGAGGAGGAAGAGGAAAAGGGGAAGGAGAGGAATAAGAAGGAGAAGAAAAAGAGGAAGAGGAGGAGGAAGAGGAGGAGGAAGAGGAAGAGGAAGAGGAAGAGGAGGAAGAAGAAGTAGAGGAGGAGGAGGAAGAGGAAAGGGGGAAGGAGAGGGAGAGGGAGGAGGAGGAGGAGGACGGGAGGAGGAGGAGGAAAGTAGAAGAAGAAAGGAAAGGAGAAAGAGGGAGGTGGAGAGGAAAAGAAAAGAAGAGGAGGAGGAGGAAGCGGAAAAGGGGAAGGAGAGGAAGAAGAAGGAGAAGAAAAAGAGGAAGAGGAAAAGGGGAAGAAGGAGGAGGGGAAGGGGAAATGGGGAGGTGGAAGGAGAGGAGAAGAAAAGAAGAAGAGGGGGAGGAGGAGCAGCAGGAATAGGAAGTGGGGGGATGGTTGGACTAGAAGACCTCCAAGGGTCCCTCCCAACCCTCCGATTCTACCTTCCACGAGGGCATCTTTGCTCTGTGCCGAGTGACAGAAACATCCCAGCGCTGAGGGAAATAAAACAGGGAAACCCTTTCCCATTCCACGGTGAAAAAAACTGAAAATCCATTATTGACCTGTTCCCTTGCAAGAAATAAGCAGGGCAAACCATGCAAATAACAGGGAGACACAGGAAGGATTAACACCTGGAGTGGTTCCACATCAAAGCGTTGCTCGCAGATCAATAGGCTGCCCCGGGTCCTTTTTCCTTGATTGTTCTTTTTATTAGCTACAACCATAAACCGCGTACAAAGCTTTCTTCTCCCCCACAAAGATGGCATTTTTCTCCACAAAGAATCCTTTTATCGGCCTTTTGTATCAAGTTGTATATCCGCAAGATCGGACCTGCGAAAATCGAATCTGTTTCCAGCACCGGAATTATAATCTGCCTCTTTCTCTGAAAAACGTGGATTTTTGCGGCACAGTTCTCTGCCGTAAAACCACGGAAGGTAACCATCCCATTTGACCAGATCTCTCAGGGGGTTCAAGGATGGAAGTACAGATAGTCCTCGACTTACGGCTATTCATGTAGTGACCGCTTGAAGTGACAGCACCGGGAAAAAAGGGACTTACGACTTGTTTTTCATGGTGTTCTGACCAAGGCTTCCTGAGACCGTAATTAAGCACATGCTCAGTTAAAAAAATTCTTGTTTTATTTCAAAGCTGGGAATTATGTGCATTCTCAGCCTGTAATGAGTCTCAAACAGTCCCTCGAGATAAGCACCCACCTTTCTCTCCTTTGACTTGCTGTCAACAACGAATGTGCCCAATTAACTGAAAAAACCCCAACCGAACTACAAAGTCCACACAGAGCTTCCAGGTTTAATCCGAACAGAATGAACGACTTTGCTTCCTGCAAAGGTTTCTCTACCTTTGCCTGTCCTTTATACCTTGTGGGAAGGGCAATCGCCTCCAAGCCTTACTCCCAACTCACCTCTTTTGTTTCAGCTGCTCTCGCCTTCTAGCAGCTCTGTGCACATGCACACTGGGAACAGGCTCCCCTTATTCCTCTGCCTCACTCCTGCCAGATTGTGGAGGTTCCGGAGTCAGCACACAACTCCCAGATGGTCCTGGCCCCATCCCTGCATCAGATGCAGGACCCTCGTAAGAGTCCTCCCCAGACTTCCAGGCTGGTCCCCGTTCTTCCCTACTTCCGATTCCGCTGCCATCTGCACCAGCTGCCGGCAAACCACAACACATGGCAGCATCCCCAGGTCATCAGATGCACGGCAACTGATTCGTATTTATGACATTTGCAGCATCCCAGGGTCACACGATCCCCTTTTCTGACCTTCCAACAAGCAAAGCCAATGGAAGAAGCCGTGCTCGCTTAACGACCATGCCACTAGCTTAACAATGGCAGCGATTCCCTTAATAACTGTGGCAAATAAGGAAGTCAAATGGGGCAAAACTCACTTTAGTGAGTACTTCACTTAACAACAGGAATGTTGGGCTCAACTGAGGTCATAAGTCGAGGACTACCTGTGTTAAACTGGCACACACACTGTGATGACCCAAAGGGGTGTGGCACAAAGGCAACCCAGTCAGATAATCAGGAGGAGTCCCTTTATTAGCTCCAACTTTGCCCCCAATGTCCTGGTTACCTTCTGGGCTGGAGAAAAAACTCTCCCAGGAACAGCCTTTGGCTGCAGAGAATCAAGGCCAAAACATGGTCAACAAAAACTGTAACTACAAGTCCAATCAAGGCAAAATGAGGTAATTAGTCCGGCAGGGAAGAAGCAAGAATTCCAGATGTGAAGGAACGACAGTAATTCAACACGATTGGGAAGATGCCAGAAACACAGATAAGCAAAGTCAACACAAGATAAACTCACATTTGTTCCCAGCAGCAGCTGCACTCAGCTTGCATCTCTCTTAAACTCTCATTCCCAGCTGTGGCTAATGAAGGGAATCAGGGCCCTTTCCTCCCCTGTAAGCCACCCAACCCACGTTGCTCCCTTCTCCGTTCCTCCCTGCATGCCCTAGGATGAAGAGGGGCTGGGTCTGAGTCTTCCTCTGAACTCCCTCTCCGTTGTTCTACCTCTCTCCTGCTCTGCCCAACTGGACTCTGCCCTTCCCCAGTTTCCTCCACAGCCGATGGAGCCACACTCCCACTCCCTGTCAGCTCTTCATCTTCCTCCTCGGATTCAGATTCTGACAGGGGCATGACACACACACACCCCTTCCAGGTGCATCCACAAAGAGGAAAATTCAAAAATAAATCCAAGATGGCACCCATAGCCCTCAATTGCAGCCACCATCTGGCGTTTTTTGAACTCTGAGAAAAGGATTGTGGCCACAAATGGAGGATTTATCTGTGTTTCAAATCAAAGAAGGAAGGAATTGGAATTTTACCTGAATCCTCCATCCTCAGCTTCTTATTACTGGGATTTTCATCACTGTCATCGTCCGACATGTCCATCTCTTCTTCCCTCCTGATCCCCATCAGCTGCTCACTGTGAGCGTTCCTGAGTTCCTAAAAGTAAAACACGAGAAAACCCCAAAAACTTACTTCATTAGTCCTGGGCTGAAGCCATATTCCAGTTCCTGAACTCAATTCCTTGCCTTGCAAAGTGTCTATGTACCGTTTTGTCCAGTTAATTCATTAAAAAAAAAAAAAGTTTTAGCACTTCTGAGGGAGATGCATTATTAACGTCTAGTTTCAAATGAGGATCGTCTTCTGCTTTGATGATGTTCGGTTTCACCTTCACGCAAATTTGATTCTGAGGAGGTTAAATTCATACCTTTCAGTAAACTCTTACAAAGATATGGAGGGAAAAAAAATAAGTACTTCGGAGAGAGAATGATTTAAAAAAAAAAAAACCACCACTTTAGGAGGGTTCTACCCTTTCTTGCTCAATATCTATTTGATTTTGGGAGAAGGGTGGCAGACTGAAGTAGAAAAACAGAAAAAAAAATGGGGGACAAAACCTCATAGGCTGCTTTAGTTTTGGCCTAAAATGGCAGGTGTATCCACAAAGGGGAAAATAAATCCAAGATGGCACCCGTAGCCCTCAATTGCAGCCGCCATCTGGCTCTCTAGCTAGGACGTTGAAAGTTCTCTACTGGAAATCATAAATTCTTCATCTAAAGGACTAACCAATGTTTCTCCAAGTGAAGTAGCCTTAGGAATAATAATCTATGTTAGGGGATGTCGTTCATCTAATTATTGTACTGTGGGGTCCTTGGTGCTCTTTGAGCTGGGTTGTTTTCTTACAGGCATTTCATTACCCAACTAGGTAACACATCATCAGTGCCAGGAAGGAGGGTATCAACTGAAAAAATGCTCCTTTGGTCTTTTTAGCTGCCAGAAAAAGGGGAGTGGGGGAAAAACAAGGCATTCCTTAAATGCCTAGATAATCAACTCGGCAGCCCAAAGTTGTTGGAGCGTAAGAAGGTTATTGGAGAGCATGATGGATGACTCTTGGAAATGGATGCCCCCCCATTGGAGAAGTCACATTGGATATGTCTAGTTTAATGAAAAAAAGGACTAGGGGTGACATGATAGCTGTCTTCCAATATCTCGGGGCTGCCCCAAAGAAGAGGGAGTCAAGCTATTCTCCAAAGCCCCTGAAGGCAGGAGAAGAAGCCATGGATGGAAACTAATCAAGGAGAGAAGCAGCCTAGAACAAAGGAGAAATTTCCTGACAGTGAGAAGAATTAACCAGTGGAACAACTTGCCTCCAGAAGTTGTGAATGCTCCATCAGTGGAGGCTTTGAAGAAGAGATATGGATGACCATTTGTCTGAAGTGGTGTAGGGTTTCCTGCCTAGGTAGGGGGTTGGACTAGAAGACCTCCAAGGTCCCTTCCAACTCTGTTATTCTGTTCTGCTATTCTTCTGAATGGCATGTAGGTGTTGTTTATCCCTATGTGCTTGTTGATGGCTGATCTGTCTGTATGGCTGGCAGGAATACTCTAGCATTTTTTTTTTACTTGGTCTAGAATCATCCCAGTTTCCCAGTTGAAACTATGATTAATTATAGTAACTATTGTACTATCTGACCTTTAAGGTTTAAGTGACTTTTAAAAAAAGAGAGAGAGATCCGTTTGAAAGTTGTGGCAAGAACAGATTCCATGTGGGATGTTGAGGTCAAAGTGTTTCCTTAAGTTTGCAGCCATTTGAAAGTGTGCATAATGTTTTGAAGTAAATCTTTCCTGTTTAAACAATGACCTTATCTATTTTTGTGTGACCTTGAGGGAGAGCAGCCAGGGCCCAGCGCTCCACAGAAAACTGCTCCAAAAATCAGTGCATTTCAGAACAAGCCTATTCCTGTGTCAGAGAGGTGAAGGCCTCAGGCTGAGGTACGTTTCTGAAATAAATGTTGGGGCTGAATAGCCAGTCTTGACAGGAATAACCAACAGGAAAGAGGGCACAGGAATGCAAACGACATGTAAATGTGCTTCCTATATTGTGTTTACTCCTTCTCTGAAAAAGAGGTGACATTATGCCGACTTTCCTTAACGCTGGCAGAAGGAAGATTGAGAGAATTCACTTTTCGTCTAATAATAGTGTCCGCTGGAACACAAGGATATACACCAGTGATGAGTGTAACACTTTGGGGTCCGGAGACAGCTAATTCTTCTATCGAAAAAAAAAAAGGCCCATTCCCAGGGAGGCGATATTAAATCTTTGGGAGAAGAAAGAGAAGTGACTTCTGAGAAATAAATGTGGCTGAGGAACGTACCGTTTTATTCCTCGTAATTAACGAGAGACTCAAAATAATTTGTTGGAGAAATGCATCCAGGGTTTTATCAATAAATGTAATCCATTATCCTTCGGGGCTGTTTGCAGCCTTTAATCACAACGGAAGTTGCTGAAGCTGATGGATGGAAGTTTTACAAAGGAGGCCTTGGAAACTCAAGAAGAGCTCTCCCATTTATTAGGGCCATAAATCCAAGTTGTATTCTGCTCCCAAGATATTAGGAAGGGCTTGGTGCGGGCAACAGGTCCCTTCGTCTCAGACAGAAGCACCAACTAGAATGTAACACAGGTAGTCCTCGATTTACAACCACAATGGAACCCAATGTCAATTCATAAAATATTTTCTACACACATTTTATAGCTGCAACAGAAAGAAGGTGGGGGAGTTTCAAACAGGAGGCAGCAGTGTGGAATCGAAAGTACATTCCATTCATATTTTCATTAGAGACTGATTAGATGACTGAAGCTTCTGCCAGGCAAAAATCTAATTGGAGAGCATGATTGATGACTCTTGGCTATGAACGTGTTTCATTGAATGATACACCCAGGATCAAGGATGACCGTGAATTACATATCTCAGAGTCGGCTACGCCCAGGCTAATGCCGGACGTAGAATGGTCACTTCTAATAAATCCTTTTTAGTTTTGGGAGTGTGGCTCAAGACTCTTGATTTAATTGGAGTAACTGCCGGAATCCTGACACCCAACATATTTGCTGCTGAGACACTGGTTGAATTTTGCCCCATTTTATGACATTTCTTGCCACAGTCGTTAAATGAATCGCTGCAGTTAGTAACCTGGTTGTTAAGTGAATCTGGCTTTCCCGTTGACTGGTCTGAAGGTTGCAAAAGAGGATCATGCTACAATTGTCATAAATGGGAGTCCAACTGCTGATCACGTGACCATGGAGATATTGCAACGGTTGCGACATAGGAAAAATGTTCATAATTCGCTTTTTTGCAACGCCGTTGTAAGTTTCAATGGTCACTAAATGAACTGTCATAAGTCAAGGACTACCTGTACACATCTGTGTCCCTCACAATTCCAATTTCATCGCAAGGGTGGACATCTGTCTGAGAGCCTTGGGATCTAGGGAGTGAAGAGAAGGCCAGAGCATTGTGTGAGCGGAATGAGAGTTATCTCAAAAGGAAGAAGGGAACATGTGTAGAAGCGTCTATAAAAAGGCACCAAGAAGTACCTAACTGACTTCTGGAATTTGGAAACATTGCCTTGAGCAGGCGGGGCTTCCAACTTTATCCACTTTAAGACTTGTGGACTTCAATTCCTCATAATTCCATGGCTGGTTGAAGAATTATGGAATTATGGTAGTTGAAGTCCACTTAAAGTTGACCAAGTTTGGAGACCCTTGGCCTTGAGCGAAAGAGTGACTTCTACTTACTTGGAAGATTCACCAACCCTATGTTTTCATTTTGAGACAAAATGGAAGATTGTCCAAGAAGGGGGAAAGTTCACTGCTTCTCGGGATGCGATGAATTTTGCCCCAAATGTGTTTGGGGTGAATTTTCGAGTGTCAATTGTTGCTTCTGTTGTTGTTGGAACATCTATGATAGGACAAATGCCAACTTTGGCTGGACAGTGTTTTTCCCTTCTATGAAACTGACTCTTTTTGAAAAAAACAAAACAAAATGCGTTGTGACCATCGCTTTTCCATCTCTTGACATTAAAAATATTGTCGTCTGTGCTCTCCCTGACTATGTAATTGCGCAGTCATTCCAGGAAGTCCCAAAGGTGCATTTTATTCCAGGAGGCATCTAGACTTTCTGGTTTTTCCTTGAAGACGTTTCGCTTCTCAGCCAAGAAGCTTCTTCAGCTCTGACTGGATGGTGGGGAATGGAAGGATTTGTGTTCCTTGCAGACAGCTGGTCATTTGCATCCATATTGAGAGTCCTTGAGGGCACTGGTGACAGAGTGTATTCATTAACTGGCAGAGACATGGTTAACAAAGTCAGCAAGTGAGTAAGCATGGCAACAGACCGGCCCGTGGGAGCTGTCAGCCTGGGTATGGTTTGGCCGTGTATGTTTTGCTGAGAATTGAAAACTAAAATTGTCGTTAGCTTGCTAAAACTGATATCTGTTCTGACCTACTGCTGCTTGTGTTTTTGCTTATGTTACGTTGAAAGAATCTACAAATGGTATTGTAAACTTTACTCATATTAATATGTTTATAAAGAAGTTAATGATCCTGCTGAATCAGTCACCTGTGTGTTTTCTGGACTTGATTTTCTGCTGCAGACTCTAACAACTTGGAGGTTTATCTGTGTCTTCAGGGACATCTGAGAAGTGCAAATGGGTGTCCGGAGCCTTCTTGGAACTGTGTTGTAGAGTTGTGCTTTCCACAGGATGTTTTTTGTCTCCCTTCACTGTTGAAGACAGATGCAGGCTGTTGGGGTTGAGTCTGTCTTGTTTGCATCTCAAATGGAAATGCAAATGGTTCCTGTAATCTGCCATTTTTCTGGAAATCTGTTCATCCGACTCTCTAAAAGAATACAAATGATCAGCTGTCTGCAAGGAGTATAAATCCTTCCCTTCCCTTCCCCATTCTCCAGTCAGAGCTGAAGAAGCTTCTTGGATGAGAAGCAAAATGTCTTCAAAAGAAAAAACCAAGAAAGTCCAGTTACCTCCTATAAAAAGCATCTTTGGGACCGGAGGACCGAGAATCTCTACAGACTTTTAGCGATGTATTTTGGGATGAACATCCTTTGAATGGTGTGGGAGTACGAACAGATCTCCCCAAAATAGCAGACTACAGGAAC